ATTATTAATTTATTTAATTTTATTATTAATATTTAGTATTTTAAAATATTATAAATAAAGTATTATTATATTTTTTTATTTAATTAATTATTAAAAAAATGGTTACAAAATATGATAAGTCAAAACGTGCTCAATTTGAATATACTTCAGAGAATCCATGTATGGTTTCTGGTAATAATTTTGAAAATAAAATAGCATGTTATTTAAAAAGACATAAATTAAAACCTAAAGTAATTAAAAATTATTTAATTAATGATGGATGATTATTATTTCGAGATAATAAATCATTACGTTTAGGATCTGTGATTTTATTAAAAGATGAAAAAGTAGATGGATTAGAAGTAATTAATGTTGGAAAATATGGTTTATTTGGAGATGATGGAACTGATATAATTTGTAACTGGAATGGTTATCCATTATTGGTACAATGTAAATTTCGTAGTATATGTGATAATTGTGTTAGTAAAAAAAATTATTGTACTCATAGTTATTGGAAAACCGATATGATAAATGATATTAAAAAATTAGATAAAAAATTATCTGAATATAAAGTACCTATATTTGGAATATTTATTATTAGTGAAAGAATAAAAATTCATGATGATGTTAATAAATTAAGATTTGTTAATGATATAATAGTTGTTAATTATTCTAATGAATTAAATAAGCAAATTAATATGTTAGGTGAATATTTTTTAGTAAAGACACAAAAGATGGAATGGTCTATAAGTCTTGATAATAAAAAACTTATAGAATTACAATCAGCATATAGACATTTAGAACAAATAGTAGATGATAAAGTAGAAAAAGTAACTAAAAAATTTTTTGAAAATACAAAAAAAATACTTTATTATATTAGACAAGCATATTATATCAATAGTTTAGATGACATTTGTAATAGTTTAGATAATTTAAAAATAGTATAATATTTATTGATTTATTTAATAAAAAAATTTAATTAATTAATTAATATTGATAATTTATAAATATATAATAAATAATAATTTGTTATTATTATAAAAAATAAAATAAAATAAAATAAAATAAAATTAGAATGTTTCAATTCTATCTAAATTCATTGTTTCATCATGTTCTTTTTTAATAATATTATTTTCATTATTAAAAGATTTATCAATATTTTTTTTTTCTAAATTATTATTTTCTTTTTGTTTAATTCCTAATGATAAACTAAAATTATTATATAATTCATTTATAATACCGTAAAAAAATTTAGAATCATTTTTATTAAAATTATTATAAACAACATCTTTAAGATTTTCTAGTATTCTTTCTATTTTTAAAATAATAGAAAGGTTTATATATTTCTCTTTTTGTTCAGAAAGATTTAATTTACTCATTTCTTCAATTATAGTATTTACTGATTTTTCTTCTTCAGTTTTTGGTTTAATATTTTTATCATTTTTTCTTTCTTTGATTGAATTATGTTTAACATCATTTTCAATATCTAAAGTAATTATTTTTTCTAATTTAATGAAATCTTTAATTTTAATATCTTCTTTATGTGAAATTATAAAATTTATATGTTTGGAATTTAAAAATTTTTGTGCAATATCATTGTTATTGGATAAATTATCACTAAAAAAATTAATTAATTTTTCTGTTAAAAATTCAGATACACCTTGTCCATAAACTAAAGGATTAGATATTTCTTTACTAAAAATAGGTAAATATTTTGGATTTTTAATTAAATTTTCATCATTATTATTAATTTTGGATTTGAATTTTATAATTAAAATATTATCATTAGGTTTTTTTTCATTAATATATTCAATATTAAAATGAAATTCATTTTTCTTTTTTGTATAAATTTTTTTTTCTTTGATATTTTTTTTAATATTTATATTTTTAAGTTCTTCAAGTAATAATATTAAATTTGACATATTTTTATTCAAATTTAAAATTTAATAAAATTTAGTATTAATAAATTAATATGTCTTTATTTATAAAAAAAAATAATTAATAATTAATATTTTTTTATATAATTTTATTAATAATATTTATTTTAGTAATATTATTTGTATATTTAATATTTTTATAATTTAATAATAT